CGCTGTCGCTACCTCGTACTGGAAATCCAAAACAAAAATAAAACAAAATTGCTTACAGCATATTGCTATTGTGAAGGCTTTCTCTACAATGTTGTAAGGCACTTACCTGCTCCTTCCTGCGCTCTGCACTTGCACTGGAGCTCGAGCGCCTTGAAATCATCTCGGCATGTTTACGTTCCACCAACTCCTACTTCTGAGGGTCAGAGGGCTGGACGATTTGCTGCTTGACCTGATGCGGGCTCTTCATAAATGCTTGATGTTCACACTTTCACCTGCGTGCATGAACTCTTCATTCGTGGCTCAAACGCCTACTTTTTGTTTCCAGCAGGTTCGAAGTCTCAGAAGTCTACTGAGCACGAGCAAATGAAGGGACGACCAATTCAAGACAGCCAGAACTATCAAAGCCACGCCCCAGCTGTGGCACACGGGACATGGTGGCATCTTCTGGCTTCATGCCCTTCCGTATAAACTTCACATAGCTCTCATTGGCCTCCGCGGTGTGAAACCGCCTATCATCCAACCGCATTGCCAACTCCAACCTCTTCTGTCGCTCTCCCTCCGCTCGTTCCTCCTTCTCCTTTGCCAGCTGTGCTTCTTCTTCAGCTGGATCTACTGTTTTCTCGGAATCCGCCAGCTTCGTCTCTGTCGTGACTCCCTCTGTCTTGGCGATCTTGGCTTTGGCCAACAGCTTGGAGCCATGGCGTTTGCCAAGCAGTTGTGCTGCCTTGGCATCAGCCCCGCCCATGGCCACGCGCACGGATTTGTTGGCGTACATGAGGTCCAAGTGCAGGCGGCAGTAGGTCTCGCGAAGTAAGCGATTGCAAGGAAGCTTGCAGCCCTTCTTCTTGCAGGAGCCCAGGATGGGACATTCACCCAGCTTCTCTATTTGCTTAGGGTTCTCCACCAACAAGAGAGTTTCCTTGGTCCCGATCTTGGTAGCTACCTCAATCAGGTGTGGATTCAGGATTGCAATGATGGCACCACGGCATGCCTGGGCTGCATGCTCGCGCTTCCGCCAGTGCAAGCATGCCTGCCATCTGAGGTGCACAGTGATATTGCGCGGTTCTGGCTGCCCAAGATCCGTCAAACGCCATTTAACAAACTGCTCACCATTTTGCAGCTTCTCACTGCTGGAATTGTAAAAGAGAACTCCGATGATGATGTTGTCTTTCGTCTCTTTCGCCTGCCCACCCGACTGGCAGTGCAAAGCAATGTGTGAGAACTTCACAAATCGCCGATTCTTCTTGGAGACTTCCTCTTTCCACTGCTCGGCCGGGACCACCCTATTGTGAATGGGCAGCTGGCTGAAGTGCTCCAAATCTGGCTCGTCCTTCTCTGTCTGCTCTGGATCTGATGGCACCGCTGGTGTATCTGCCACAGGTGTCACAGGTGCCTCAGAGCTTGCCATTGCCCAACCCCTTCAATGGCTCCCTGACATGGCACCAGGTGCAGCCAGCTTGAGCCAGCCCTGCTGTGTTTCCGCAGAAGTGCATCTTATCTGTCCGGTGAGACAGCTTGTGTTGTTCTTGCACCCCAAGCTCTGACAGAGAAGCAACAAGTCTTGCTATTTACTTACAGTTTGAGAAAAAACTCCGGCTTGGCCTGGCTCTCTGCCGCTTGCGGGAGCGGCTCTGACCGCGGCTCCGGCTTCGGCGTCTGCTCCGACTGCGGCTCGGGGAGCGCTGCGGCGCAGCCTGGGCACAGTAGTTCTTGCAAGAGAGCTGGCACATCTCTTCATCTTGCAGAGTATTTGACAAACAAGAACTCTTTGCACATCCGTATGATTTCATGATCAGTCAACCTGCCTTATAGTTCAACTGCTCAATGTGTGTAAATACAAAGACTCCTGAGCCCACGACCCTCTTGGCAGCTCGCCAACCTCCTCCAGTGGGACCCCGACCAGGCCTTGAAAAGTCAGTGCCCTTCGCAAATTGAGAGAGAGAGAGAGGGCGCCCGTGCGCGAAATAGATAAAAACAACAAAAAAAGGAAGAACCAAAAATGCCCTACACAAAAATGAGTTGACCTTGTAACCTCTGACAGAGGCCACGACGCTTCTGGTCTCTTGGATTCGTCTGGCTCTGTCCGAGGGCGGCCTGAGGTCAATCTGAGGCAGTTTGATGCCAGTGAGCCGGTCTCTCACAACAGCCCAAGGCTCTAGCGGGGTGGAGACAATCTTGCCTGCAATAGAAATCCCTCACTAAAAAATCTACAAATCTACACCAAATGATCCGGAGATTGAATTCATTCTTCTTTCGTTCGCCACCTCATCATTCTTCCCATCCACGGCCTGACACAAGAACACTTCTCACTGCCAAAGAAGCTATGCAACATTTAGTCTATCGACCTTTTCCTGTCTCTTGTGCAGGCGCTTTCGCCAGTCGTTCTTCGCCCAGGGGGTGCCAACACCTCAAAGCCATTGCGTGAAGCAGCAGCTAGGAGCAAGCACAGATCTCCTTGTTCTGCAGAAGATGCGACTTGTCGAATCTGATGTCTCCCCCAGGTGAGAAGATCGTACTGATATCTATATAAGAATGTCAAAAACACTCTGATTGACTTTAGTCCTGCATCTCCTGAAACCAAACACCAGCTTGTTTGCAAAAGAACTCTAGGTTTTCTAGGTTGACTTGACACCTCAAATAAAATGACAATAAGACAATAAGTCTTTGGCGCAAATGCTCTGGAATTGAGCTTGCGCTTGCAGACTTCGGTACCTCGAGCGATCAAGGACTGGAGTGCTGATGTACCTCTAGCTTTCTTGCCAGTGGCGGACCGGGAGGTTTGACTCTTCTCCTCGAAGGTAAGGATTGTATTCCTTCTCGCTGACCTGGAAAGACTGTTTCGGGAGCTCCAGACGCAGCTAGGTGCAGTTGGTAAGCCAGTCAGCAAGCAGCTGCAGAAAGTATGAGAAGCGGTCTGTAGATGACCTTCATTTTGTCTGGGTCTTCCTTCAACTTTGCATCTTTCCTTGTGGAAAAGGCAGTCATAACATGTCAAAACTAGGATTCAACTCCCGAAGCCAGCGGGGTTTTCAGGCTCCAGCTCACGCTCTTTTCCCATAGAGCTGAAAAAGTCAACCTCCAAAAATGGAGAAACTCGCCGGACGGTGGACTGCAGGTTTCGAGACCACCATGTCAATGTGTATGTGGTTGTATCCAAGCTGAGGTTCAGTATTCGCGTCAAACAACAAATGCTCATTCACAACACCCAGTAGGATTGTTGAGAGCCTCAGCTTTTGCGACTTCATCATCTTCACCTTGGAGTCTGGTGTGAACTCTTGTGTAGAGCAAAAACTCGTGATTGAGGCACCAGCCTAGTGTCGACGCTTTTGCTTCCACCTGAAGGAATGCAGTTTTGTGGGATGTGGGAGAAGTTACAGACAGGGTTGCTGTGCCTTCTTGCCCGGTGCTTCTCCCCCAACATCCTCCAGTCCGCAAACCCGTTGGTGCTTTGTCCAGTGCAAGGTTACCAAACTGAGAGGAGGCCTTTGGTTTTTTTGAAGTCTCCTCCTCCTCCTCAGACTCCTCTAGCCAAACACAGTGCAAATGAACCAAACACAGTCCAAGCATCTTGGCGGACGTCTCCTGCCCAGAAGACGCTTCTGACACCTCCTCCTGTCCAAGACTTGCACAGGTGCATCACCATATGCCAGTACTTAAGAAAACATGCTTTGCCTTCGCAGCTTTCTTCTCTTTCTTGGTCTTAGTCGTGAAGAGTATGTTTAACCAACAAGTGCTGCAGTCCAATGGTGCACCTGCCTTCGCTTTGGCAAAGTCAATTGGCGAAAAAGAACTGCTAGTCGACCAGCACCCAATCAGGTGTCTTCGTTTGGTACTCAACATAGTGAGAGAAAAAGCAAAGCATTAGCCGCTAGCCACTATCTTAATGTCCTGAGAGCAAGGCTTTCTTTCCTTGCACGACACCACGCGACAAACATGCCCTCGCACGCTCCCCTAGAATGTTGCACTTGTTCCACATGTGTCGTCTGTCTGCAGCTTGGCATCGCTTCTTCTGCTCTTTTCGTTTTTCTTTCTTTTTGTCTTTCCTCAACAGCAACGGCTGTTCAGCACTGGATCAAGCATCCAAGATAAGGCAGTAAGGGAGTAGAGAGACACCGCAAAAAAGTACACCCAAAAGTAACCGACGGATTAACTGTGGTTCTGGCAGCACAAAGCTCGAGCGCAATAAGTAAACATCCACCATGAATTGCCACACTTGCCCTACGTCCTATCTGCAACAAACTAAATCCAACTGTAGCATTGATCAGGGCAAGCCAAACAACCCAAAGGCTCGGAGCAGCCTAGCTGGGACTGGCACTTGCTTAGGGTCTTCTCCTGCAAGGTTCTATCAGTGTTGCCAATCTCTGGATCTTGTGCACCAGAAGATGAATTTTTGCGAAGAAATCGTTTTATTGGTCAAAGGCTGAGTTTCAACGAGACTTGAGACCTTCCTTCCAAGTCAATCTTCTGTGAGGGGAGACCACCATCCAAGGCTGGGAAAACCAGCATCTATCAATCACTCTGAAAGTGTTCAACATCTGTTCACATCTCTCCTCATTCTCCTTCTTGCCAAACTTGAGTCCAGCCAGCATTACTTGCTGCGTCTCAAGTCTTTGTGAAATAACGCCATGGTGCCGCCCAAAATGTCGAGGGTGACACACAAGCTCTCTCAAGATCAAAGGCTAGTGAAGGTGCTTTCTTTCCAAGAGTGTCTTCGAGGTCTGCATTTCGCCAGAAGTAGATGGAAGTTGGTTTACCAATGCTAAACAAATACTGCTGTTACGAGAGGTGCAACATAGCTACGGCATGCTATGGCAGCTATGGCTGAAACCCGGTACTCCTGAACAAAGCAGTTCACCTCCTAGGTTGGACCACATAATGCAACTTCTATGTTCTGTGCGCTCTGTGAAGCGATCTGGGACCAAAGTAAGCCGTCCCTCGTTCAAATCATCCAACTTGCTCAAGCCGTCAATCAGTCTTGCACCATTCATCAACGTCCAGGCCTCCCTATGCCGTGGTTCATGTAGCACTGGCTCGCGAGGCACAAAGAATCTGCGGCCATTGGAATTAAACGTAGCTGCTGCATATCGGACATCAATTGAGTGCGCACGGTTCAAAGTGCAGGCCAGCCCCAAATTCTGATGCTGCACTGGGACCTCATAGCGTGCAAAGTTTGCTTCCACGAACTTCCCAAACCTTCTGAGACAAGTACCAACGAATTCGGAATTCGGTGTAGCACGCAAAGACAATCCAACCTGCGAGTCGTGTCTACTTTCTCCCAGCAAAGTAGCTGAGCCCTCAAGCCAACTTAGCAAAGTAGGACACCCTTTTCGCATGCTCTTTGGCGATTGAGTGAACGCTGTGCCAGCGGACAGAAGCTCAAAAATATCTGCCTTACCCATGCAGGACGTCAGTCAGCAAATTCTCGCAAAAAGAAGAGTTGGCAATAGGTCTGAGATCTCCACGTTTCCTGCTTCTAGTGCATAGTCCATTGCAGACTTTCCTGCACTTTGTACATTCGATTGTATGCACAATTGTCAGTCAGTATTGAGTTGTTGACTGGAACGCGCAAGAAACTTCAGACAACAATCACAGTCCGGGGATGTGGTACTGTTGTATAGTCGCTTTGATAAAGTGAAAGCACATGTTGGCACCATGCCTCTCAATCCAGCATGTTGGATGGTCAAATGAGTCAAAATGGTCCAATACTACTGCTACCACTCCTGCTCCTGCTCCTGCTCCTGCTCCTCCTGCTGCTCCTCCTGCTGCTGCTGCTGCTCCTGCTGCTCCTCCTGCTGCTGCTGCTCCTCCTCCTGCTGCTCCTCCTGCTGCTGCTGCTGCTGGTAGCTTTTTTGTGCAGTTTCTCTGAATGTTTGTTGATCAACTGCTATTGTCAAACGGGCGTTGCAACTGCTTCTGCAAAATGGCTGGCTGAAGACTAGAAAAGAAGGAAGTAGTTGACATCCCTGGGTTTGCCACACTGCTGATGCTCCTGCTTGATCTAGTTGAAGTGGATTTGCCATAGCGATAAGAAGCCGATGGCAAACCTCCATATTGCCAGCAACGGCCGACCAATGCAAGGCAGTCCACTCCTGATGCGTTTACCAGCTGCGTCGGAACAACATTAAAAATTATCTACATCCAGTTCACCAAATGAATGACAAGGATCACCTTCAAGCCCCAGCGTGCTCTCCTGAGTATCTCCATGTATCGCCTGCCAGCCGTATTGCTCCACGGCGGCTACAGCGGTTTGATACCTTGGCTCTGCGGCGTCAAGTCTAAATGCAGCAGAATCCATGCCTTTCACACTGCAAGCACATACCAAAACTGCTGTCATGGGGAGTTGCGACTTTGATGCTAGAACAAAGCAGCTGCTATAGCTCATGTTGAAAGACCCTTGAGAAAAGTGTGAATACTCTGTGTTTTGCTTCTGTTGCCTCTTCCTTTCGTTACTCCAGGTTTAGAGTCAAGGTGAAGGGCCAAAGAATACATTGCATTGATGGATGTTCCAGGTTTTGAGGTGTTTGACCACTGGTGAAGCTGGTCCCGGTCAAGAAGACCTGGGATGTAAACACAGTGGAGCTCGCGGAAAGAGTGAAGTCGAATCATGGGAGCCAGCGAGAGTCCCAAAAGCTCAATTGCATCACATCACGAGAGCCGCCAGGTCTGACCTACTCCGATAAATGTTGCAAAGGAAAGAGGACTCCATCATACTCCATCCAGATACGGTTCAGCTATGCTTTTCAGGCCAGTTGCACAGGTGGTACATCAGGTAAACCTCGTGAATCTGCTGTGAATGCCTGCAGCTTCTTTGGCACGGCCTCCTTCGAGTAAGTCTTGCCCCAGTCGCTGATTGCATCTCGAACATCTGGCCCTTGGGCATTCTCAAAGTCTTGTGGCACTCGAGAAAAGGAATACGGCCGTCAATGAACAAAGTAAAGACTCAAGGAAAGGGCAAGGTACAATTGTTCAACTCCTCTCCCACAGCAGCATGTCCATTTTGGCCAGGCGGTCTGAGAGGTGGCGATAGACCTCTTTGAGAGCTTGCCCGTGAAGTACTGCGTGGTGCTTCATCTGGGTCAACAGAAAGTCAAAAACACATGAATGACAGACTTCAAGGCACTGCGATGCTCTGCGATGCCACAGAAATGATTCCATCCAAAACATCGTACTCTCGCTCCCAGCTCTCAAGAAGTCGCATTGCTGATGCTGCGCTCGAGATACCGTGCCCACCGCCAACGCCCAAGACCTTCAGACATACTCAAAAATCAACACAAACAAAAGGGATTTAGAAGTATGTCTGGAACTAGTATTAGGTATCCTGTGAAGCCAAATCAGGGTGCAAAAGCTGCAGGATGCCACAGGCCTCCCGGTCGAAGGCATCACTCACAATGGGGAAGTCGTTGTTCCAACTCCAGCCAGAGAGACCTGGATAGGAGTAGAAGAGACTTTTTCAAGTCTTCCAAAATGATGGGAAACGAGCAGCAAGATGCCAGCTGACATGGTTGGGTGGCACCTTCAGGTCGTTGCAGGGTTCGACCACTTGATGAGCAACTGGCAGATGCGTTGCCTCAACTTCACCATGTAACCAAATACTGCACCCGATACGCCGATACGCAACATAATTCACCATGGACAATGTGGGTAGTGGGGAACATTGAAAGCTGTTCTTGTAACAAGTGCATCGCTACTAGTAACTTGTTCCTACTAGTGGCAACGCACTTGTTACTAGTGTTTTCCTTTCTGCTTTTGCTCAGGCCTGCTAAATGACCAGGAGCATGTCCATGGAGCATTGTCCAATGGTGTCCAAGCAAAGCTTGACGCCGCTCAGCAGCTTGAGCAATGATGTGCCTCACTAGCAGGATATCTGCAAAGCAGCTCTTTCATAAAACACGTAGAAAAATGTTGAAAATGTCCTCCGTGCTTTCGCCCTCACCCCATGCTTTCACCCAGGGGCTCTTCCATCTGCGCTACAGTGGCCAACTCTTCCTCCTGCAAGGCCGCAGTCCTCTTCTTCAGCGCTTCAACTGCTTCCAGTGCCTGGCTGTGATCCCAACTTACAAGTGCCTCAAGTGCTAGTAACAGCTGCTGCCTCATCACGAGTGCGCTCTGCAGTCTGCAATTCTTGCAGGTACCGCATTTCTTGCTCCTGGCTTTCTCGCCGTGCAGCTTCCAATCCTGCCAGCGGACAGCGTCAGGAGTAAGCTACAGGAGGAATTTCGGAAAGGCAGCGTACTCAGGTGAAACAACAAAATGGGATCCGCATTTTTGCCGGGCGCTGCCCACAAGTGCGTCATGACATGCCTTGCTCTTCCAGCTCTTTGCAGCGCCCCTTGTGTTGTTCTTCAGCCCAAGCCAGCTGCTCATTGCAGGCAGCCTCATGCGCTGCCTCCGGCCAGGCAGAAATAAGGTTGACATAGGCCCAAAAGCACCAAGCACTCATCACGAGGAATTTAGAAGTCTGCCACAGAGCAACAGCACTTGCAGTCACACCCAGCCTTTAGTTCCTCTATGGCAGTTGCACAAGCCTCTGCCTGCAAGCAAAAAAATACAACTCAGCACTATATCTAAAGAAGTAGGTTTAGAATCCTTACCTTCCCTTTCGCATACCTTTCTTCTCCTTTTTCTCGAGCTATATATATATATAATATAGTACATACAGTACGTGTGTGTGTGTAGGTGTCTTTCCGAAATCTCATCATCTGAAGCTTGCTCGGCTTGCACGCCTCAGCCTGGCGGCCAGCAACCTCCCGTGCAGCTGCCTCTTCTGCCAGGGCCTCGACATGCCAGACTCGTTGCTGCAATTGCACCTCACGGGCCTCACAGTTCAGATATTGGAGTTTCAAGCGCATGAGAACAGCGCATCTTGCAAAGGAATACAGTAAAGGAAGGTGAAACAAAAGAAATGACAGAAACAAAAAAAACACTATTCGTGCACCGAGGGATGCATGATACTTGCTCAAGTACAAGACCTTGTGAGATCATCTTTTTGTGCTTAAGAGGTATCTAAGCAAACCAGACACACAAAACTCACAACTCAAGGTTGTCTCCATCAACTGCATAGAGCCAAGGATCCCCATCATGCGGTTGGATTGGAATATCCAAGCACTGCACCAAACGCTGCTGCATGGATCGTACTGAGTGAACCTGCAAGCGGCAGAAAAGGTTCAAAGCAGGCGTTTGTTCCTGCAGCTTCATATACTTGAGCTGCATGGAAGCCTTATGCTGTGAGCCCTTTCATAGTGCGTATGTTAAGCCTTCTCACTGCTTGGTATGCACATGGATGTGTGTGGATATTTGCACCCTGGCACGAGGACTTTAGATGGATTAAGCAGGGAATATGTTTGCGGGTGGATGTAGACTGCAAGCAGTGGGGATGTGAAGCCGAGTGGAGCGTGGAATTGGCTGCATGGGAGGTGCAGGTTGGATGGTCGACGTTCGACATCCTTACATCAGATCCAGGGGCTGTGTTCTGAATTTAGATTGATTGTCTGAATCTGTCTCCTAAATTCTTGATGAAAAGCTTGCAAGGGACAAACAATGAAAAATTCCAGCCTCCTTTTCAGCCTGAGCCTCGGCACGAGCCCAGACCTGATTCAACCAGGCTTCCGCTCGTTCCTCTTCCCGGGCAGCCAATGCAGCTGATTCCTCTGCGTACCAGCTGTGCATGCGATGCTGCCTGACCGCAGTTTGCACAGGGATGATCAAGAATCGACATTCGATGCTGTCAAAAGACTATGTGTCTGAGCTTCAAACTGTTGCTGCATCTCCAAGTCAACAGAGCGAACTCTGCGCTTCACCTGACATGCAAAATCCTCTGCAAAGTAGGCTTAGACTTTGACAGCGAAGCCTCCTCTGACTCCTCTCGCCAAATGGGAGCCATTTTTTGAAGCCATGCACTTTCAGCTTCCTGAAGCTCTGCCTTCAGCTCCTTGCACTTGCCATGTCAAGTGCTGTTTTTGTTCTGTCTGTGAACTGGCAAACTTTTTTGAACTTTACTGCTACCTGTTGCCCGTGGCTACACAATTATCCAGTTGTCTGCAATCCTCAAACTCTTTCCAAGATCTTCCAGCCCCCTCCTTCCGGAACTCTAGTCGAGCTTTCTTCTGCGCCTCTTCCTCAAGGAGCACCTTCAAAGCCACTGATGTTGGAAATGAGTTCTTCCCTCAAGGGATATTATTAACTCTGTAGGTTTGGTCAGTTGCCCGTTGTGACCTCCGCTGGTCCCAGGGATCATTGCTCATGTCAGTGAGGC